TCTAATCATTACAGTAATCCGCATAATAACTATCAACGAATCCTTATTCTACTCTAAATATGTGCTCGCTGATGCCATAGTGTGATGTGAATATCTAAATCTTGCTCACTTACTTTAGAATGAATATGTAAAGTGAAATATTACTCATCACAATTGACACCGCGACACTACACACACACGCACACTCCTCTGTCCCTTGCTATACAGACAAGATACGTCCAGCTACAAATGTAATGATGTGCTTACAATAATTTCGCCTCTGTACGTATCGTTTGTTCAGGTGTGAGTTCAATGTTGTAAATATGTTTTTTTTGTCCGGCAAATACAGTGATACTATGTTAGTACAGTGACATTTTTACACATGTATATTTAAATTACTATTTTTTTTTTGCAGATTAAATATTGGTGATTATACATACGCTATGTATTAGAGTAGAATGTGCCTGAACTGACTATCCGATGAGATACATGTATATAGCAAACTGTGGGTGTACTCAGATTGTGTCTATTCATGTACTTCAGAGTTCTTCCTGTAATATGATATTGACCATCGCAATTTAGTAGAGTACATATGACTATAATACCCTTCTTTATACTGGTGATTGTACAACATCGATACATTATCATCTTAAATGTATCTTGAAAATTGAAGACACCACATAAACACACCTAGCTTGTTATCCGAGATCGTGGCCTAGTGTATTAAAGTTCGATGTGCCACTTATTTGAGACACTACTGTCTGTCTACCGGGATCATTTATAGTGCTTGACCTGTATATCAGTAATGAAGTACAAGTCTTCTCGGAAACTTAATATGGTTTCAAAATCATTAATACATACACAAACACAGCCATATATTAGTGTAATAAGCCGGGCCTCCACATTAGACTTTATGTATAAACGTACTCTTAAGCAGTACACAAATTATAAACGTACTCTTAATAGTACGAGGAACTTAAGTTTCCTAAATGTGCTCTTAATAGCACGAGGAACTTAAGTTTCCAAAAATGGGTTTTAATGGTTTTATTAATTAAACCTTTTTCATTTAACATATCAGATATTTGGATGAGGCCATTAAAGGGCCTCAGTAAAATACCAAACATAAAAGAGTTGGTCTAGTTCTATTAATAGAGCTTTATTTACTTTCCAATTTTATTTATATCTGAATACTTCGGTAGCGAGATGGCTCAACCGAATATAGGTTTCTAGGGACTATTAACATTACCTAGTTGATCCTCTGATAAGCCAATCAGATGTGCCAGTCTGATGAAGGCTAAGGCGGTAATTCTTGATAGTGGCAAGTTATTGGTTAAGACAATAACTAAAGACGTCAAGAGTATTTTTATTTTTATTTCTTTTTTTCTTCTAAAGATAGGATTCCACGAGTCTCTCGGATTCGCCTCAGAATAGAACGACAACGAAACACTAAATAAAATCCCTTCGGCGGAAACAGTACGAGTATTGCTGTTTTCACGAGGCAAGCCTAACTTTATTAAACGTCTCATTTCGTTTATTTATATCGATATTTACACGATATAGAATTTACCTACGCGTTTATTTATTCTAAGGCATTAGTATCGCCTTTATTAGACCGAATCTTACATTAGGGGTACTCTGCAGCTCTATATGGCACACAATGCGATAATGCGTGTATATAAGCCTGTTTTCCATATCCGACTAAATATATATGGTATTACTGTAAAATTAGGTGTGCCTGTGCACTTTACATGTCGAGTGGCCATCTATACTGATCGGGATTTGTCCTCAGCGGGTAGGTCCGTATAGTGAACACTATAAAGGTGTTCTCACACACAATATCGCTATTTCTTCCTATCGATTACATTACCAGCAATCAACACTGGCAACGAAGTCAAGAGACGTCTATTATCCATGTCAGAACGACCCGACACCAAGCCAATGCCTCGATTCCGCGGAGTTGATACCAATGATAGCCAAAGTGGGGACGAAGAGGAAAAACCTTCGCCATTCCACAACGATCTTGCGCCACGACATATTGTATTTTACAACCCCAAATCCCGCTGTCGAGATCTGGTGCTGCTCGTAATGGTGCCGTGCGGGTTGACGATGGATAACTTTCGAACCGTACAATTTAATGACGATGACAATGAGTAACCACCATCCTGCAAACGATAAGGACGGAGCCTGGCGCGATATATTTCAGGCCCATGTGTACGTGGACAATGAGATGGCTCGGAGCTCTTCGGAAGTAGATGCACCTATATGGTGCTCAATGAGGATTGATCTCCCTTTCGCCGTATACACACGCTCGGAGCACTACAAACCTCAGGAGATGAAGAAAGGTGCTGTTGTTTATGCTGTTGCTTGGAATTTGATGGAAGCTGTAGTCATCGTGTCAGCCAGCAACCGAGAGGAACGACTCATGCTTTCGGTGACATGAAACATACTCTGCTTCCTCTCTAGCGCAGATGTAAGCGAGTAGGAGTTTGGTATAATAAACCAAGTTGCAACGGGTGTTTGGGTTCTCGCCTTTGCTGATATATATTCATATATTGGAGATGTATTTTGTTTAGACGCTGCTTTGCTTAGTAGGCGTGACATTTTGATGTGCGTGTCGATATAAATACAGTGCTGGTGTGTAACCACATAAACGTAGAGGTATCGAGATATCATAAATACATACGTCATTCAAAGGCACTACATATGGCAAACCTTGCCGTGCTAACCGAAGTACTCTGACAAAAATTGAGCTCTCCGCGCAACACTAAGGTATGTTTTTTATACTTTTATATGAAAATCAAGCGGTGAATGTTATCAAAGTCACAGGAAATCATCCTTAGAACATGTATACTTTCAATTGTTGTCGCATTCCTTATATAAATATATGCTGGTATATCATAGTGTTTGAGGTTTCAATTTTTGCGGCGAATGAATATGTATACACCTAGACTGGCAGCCATATGTTTGAACGTGCAGTTCGTAATGCACATATAACTAAGTGTGCATAGTGTGTTGGAGAGCTTATCTAGTATTATGCTTACTGAAATCGTATGCACGCTCCATCGGCTATGCATCTCTAGTAGCTGAACCTTGCATGTCAATACCTATCACGTATACCAGCTACGGGATGAATAAATATGTCTCTGTGCACAAGTATTGCCGATGTGTGCTGCTACAGATAGTGAATATCCCAACCAAACACGAAGCAGCGCCGCCATGTACACTATACTACATCACGTTCTGTTTCCAGTTTTGGGCTAGGCTGTGCGCGCGTGACCATGTAGATTTATTGTATGGCATATATAAATCAATTCTGGCATATGGGTGTAAAATGTGCCATAATTATTCTCAGTGTGCACTAGTCGTGCTTCGGTTGTGACATTCTTGTCCATAAAGCTCCAGACGTGTACTTGCGAGACGCGCCAAAACACGCCAAAACACGCCAAAACGCGTCAAAACGCGCCAAAACGCGCCCTGGTAAGATAATTGTTTCAGTGTTTTATCAGCAAAATATACAATTCCACTGTAAAACCCACCGTATACCCCAACTAGACATCCTCCACGACAATACTGTCGGAGGAAAGCGTCGAATTTACGGTTGGACACTTTATTAATAAGGTATATATATGAGCGGTCACCGTAAAACGGCGATTTTCTGTATTGTTAGTGTCTAATAGATCGCACCTACAGCACCTATATCAACTGGGGCTCCGATAACATCGGTAAATAAACTCTAAAGGATACCCTCACTGTGGGGTTTTGATTCTATTGCTCTCCGCACTCCGCTAAATTACTATATATATATGGCAACTAAAGGCATGTCCAATGAACACCAAACACGTGATGTACACAATAATTCAAGAGGTGTGTTTAAAAAAAAATCATATAACTCAGTTGTAGCTTACTATAAAGGTCACAATGGTGTGTGCGTGCTTGTATATATCCCATGTGTATTCTCTGACAGTATTCATTGTAGTTGTCACTACTATATATGTTGCTTCCTTGTTCTGACTTAAATACGATCGTTTATGCACGTCATGTTATTCCCTACTGCAATGCCGTCGAATACATAAGTCATACGTATACGTGCACCATTGCGACTACGGTGTGTATTTGTTCACATTCGACAAGTCTTCATCAAACCGACTAGTGATTGGGAAGTATGATATAGAGCCCTGCCCTCCATTCACCTACCAGATTATCTCTTAAGGGTTGCATTGTGTATAGACTAGCGATGTGTGTACACATGGGGCCATGGGGGATAATAATCTCTTCGTTGAAGTTTAGATAGGGATAATATTATTTATTTCAAAAATGACAAGTATGTATGATACAATGTATGAACATATGGTATGGCTCTCATAGGGATAATATTATTTATTTCAAAAATGGCAAGTATGTATGATACAATGAATGAACATATGGAATGGCTCCCATAGTCGCTGTAGAGGTTCAGGAAAGATTGATGGGAAGGAGTGGTCGATAAATTCCCGTTTGAAGCTTGGGCCAAGTGAGTCAACAATGGAAGATATGTGCTGAGTCAATTCGGGCCGGTGTTGACAAAACACTGTTACTATCGAATGTTCCATATATTCGCTTGCTGACCTACTAAGTAGAGTACCCACCTTTGTGAGACGGATCGGGTCTGCGCCGTGTAGTGCCGCGGAATGAGTTAGTGCAGAGTACGAAATACCAAGAAGGACCAGATTATCCGTCATAATCCGATCGAGGAGCGAGAATGGGGGTAAGCCAATGCCGCACCAGACCACGGATGAATTTGGTATGTGTTGGCTGGCCTAGATCGGAAGTATCATAGTCGGAACCAACAAGCGCGATGATTTGGTTTGAACCGATATTTGGAAGTAGTACTTCAACAGCGTGATTAGCCGGGGTATGGGGAACATCTGTTGATGTGTCAGGGACGGGTGAGGGTACGGTGGTTCTTCAACATGCTGGAGAAAAGATTTCGTGGAGGGTCCAGATACCGTGGAAGTCGTGGCACTCCTGTAATTACTGAAGGAGGTCAGGGCCAATGGGTGGCAGTTTCGGGCCTACCAGGATGCGTCGAATCAGTTGTTGGATGCAGGTAAAGTGGCTGGTAGTGAACTTGTGGCTACCGGGGCAGACAGGGTAGAGACAGCCGTCGATGCGGTAGTCGAGCAATGTGAACATGTACGTATTCGTTACAATCATAGCACAGAGCCGGATTGGTGTAGACTCGAAGCAGCAATTGAAGCTGTCGTGTCTGGCTGTGTCTCGGTTTGAGGTTGGCGGTCTACCCATAACCAGTTGGTAGTAGTATTGGCGCCGGGCCATTGCCGTGATCTCCTTGCTGGACCAACGTTTTGTTAAGTTCTTCCTGATGTTGTCACAGCGTTGGCGGAGGGCTACACGGTCGGGTGTACGCCCGCCCGTGGTTTTGTGTACAGTTTTCAGGTGAGCATAGATACTGTACGTTTAGATAGTATGATATTTTTTGTATTACGTGAGCTGGTATTGCATATACTTATTTATTGAGTTTATGTATACTATCGTATTGTGTGCTTATGAAATAGTATGAATGTTGTCCTGTTAGATATGGCGCTAGAATATATGATGAGCTTATATGGTGTAGCTTACAGTTATGTACAGCTGAGCGGTTCTATGTAGATCATCCTACAGTTAGAGGGGTGCACTACATCGACAATCTGTATATCGCTCTCTACAGTCTTGTATAGTATGTAGTAGCACGTATTCAATACGGCGTACCTTAATGATGGTAACATGTGCACACACACGTGATTTAATGAAATCTATATTTCTATGTTTATTGAAATTTGTAGTCGAATAGTTACCTAGCTGTATGTATACATTATGCATAATCACGATATAGTCGTCTGTATCCTTTATATAATGTGTTGTATCTACACATGATGTCCCTACTCTGTACAGAGCTGGGCGCGCACTCATAACATCAGTGTTATTGATGTCGGGGCATCAACATTCAGAGTCGCCACAAAGACATATATTGAATGGCTTTGGTACGTCGTCGAGCAGATAGCCAGACTGACCGGGATCGTATGTTAGCGTGTGTTTATAACTTTAGTATGTGTTTAGTATGTGTGATATCACCAGTCAATCAGTATAATGCAATAAATTTTGTCTCCACCTATATGAGACGTGTTTCACGATAGATTTTGGCAGAAAATCATACTTATGCTTCATGATACTAAAGATTACCAATTAGTGCATGTTGACATGGCAGTGTGTGTGTTTAAACTTATTTGTTTGCATGCGGGATGTCGGGATGTCAAATTTAGGATTGTCTTGCATAAAATTCTTTGGCTATATTTCAAGTCGAGCTGGGTGAATATTGATACGCTTATCTGCGAATTGCGAATTACAAACAAGTTTTGAAGAGATTTGAACTCTACATGTAATAAGTGGTGCATCCTACATCAACTACATTGACATAGCATTTATGTAAATTCAAACCGCTGGTGTATTGCATAGTTCACAGCATACAAAACCTTCGTGTGCACATTCTGCAGTGAATTATTGCAACCAACACTTGAACCCTTTGCAACACATACTTCACACAGGTAGTATGAGAAGATCGAAAGTTGTTGTTGGATCCCGATGATATGTCAAATACGTTCGTTACGGTGGACAGAATTGATTGCAATGTTCCTGAAGCCCGTCCTTTTCGAGCCTCATTGATGTCTCACAAAACGAGACACGCCGCTTATAAACACGAATTAGTATAGCTGGGGATATTTGCTTCGTCAATGGAGGGGGGGGGGGGGGATGAAGCAGGGACAGCTGGTATCACTCTATCGCGAGATTGCCTAGTGTATATGCTTGACGAGGGAGAGAAAATCGTTGCAAATAAGGGATATGAGGATGGCTTTGAATACTTCCTCACGCCTTTTGAAGCTACAGTTGAGAATGCGGCAGCAAAAGCAATGATGAAGCGCTGGCGTGCCCGACATGAAACAGCTAACGGCAGAATGCGTAGTGTCTATATTCTCAAAAACACATTTCGCGCCTCCAGGTTGAAGCATTCAAAATATTTTATGGCCGTTGCAATTATCGTGCAACTGTCTATTCGCAGCGGTCATCCTCTATTTGATAAGCGTTGATCTCGGACCACAGCGCAATCTGGACACAATTTCAAAGTCAGGCAATAATATGCAGTACTACACGAGCGGTGACACGCGTACATTGCTGTATTCTCGTATCCTGATTCATAAAAATCATGCATACGTGTTATGCATGCTCTATTTTTCTACATTCAACTATGTCATACGAGCAGACCCATGCGTTTTGGTATCGAAGAGCCCATGTGTGTTGGTATCGAAGAGATGCTCACAACACACACACAGCCTCCTTAAGGCCAAGAGCGGTTGACGAAAAACACATATAAATATCCTAGCCGAACATATAAAGGTATACTGCACCCATCCATTGATTGTGTATGACACACGTTATATCGACTAATAAGGTCTTGATCTGGTCGTGAAAATTTGATACTTGGTTTGAGTGTCACATTATCAATCTCGAGATTTGAAATGTGCCGGCAAACTTTACCAAAGTCAATGACAAACCCTTGGTTCGATTTGGGTGTAAGTATGTCCCAATACAATAGCGATCAGAGGGCAGTTTTCATATTTTATTTTATTTTGGAATTTACGGCTCGCTCCAGAGGACTTCACCGTTCACGTGATGGCGGATTCGCTAATAAGTATGAACACCGGTAGCATTGTATGTACAAATCAAAATCTACAAACGAGGTTTATCTAGTAAACACAACACTGGCAAGTTATTTTTTATAACAGTAATTTGGGGAGACTGGATGCCCTCGCGGTTTAGTGTACACTGTACAGTGGATATTTAATATTTATATTAGCTGTCGACCGTCTAAACTATCATAAAACATAATTTAGACGCTAGTCATAGCCTTTTGAAGTATACACATGTTGGTAGTCCGGTGCTTTAGCAATCTTTTAAATTAAAAAAAAAACTGGAATCGCAGATTTGCAAATACCATATTTATTACTTAAAGAATTGCAGACTGCAACATCAGACATCAACTTCAAATATAATCATAAAACTACAAATCCATCATGAGCAGTCCGAAGTCTTTAGATGTTGATCCTATCGGATTTCACAGATCAGTATCACAACCCGCGAAGTCACACAAAATTCCAACAACAATGCCACGAACCAGCCAATTACCGCGATCTTATCGTGGCTCGTTTCATAACCTGCTATCCCTTAGCATCCCTAAGGCAAGTACTTTGAAGACAAAACAGAGGTACATGTCATTAATAACCTTTCTGGTCTGCGTTATATTATACGGCACATACAAGCACATACAAAGTGTTGCAGAATGGGACAGGCTCATGGGAACTCAGAGTTATCGTAGCTACATACACGCAGTAGAAACACACGGTCTAGAGGCTGCTCTGCGGAGGGCAAGGCAAGAAGTTGCAAGTCACAGTGATTATCCAAAGGTCGCTTATTTATTTTTAGACTCGGATGGCCACTCACAAGACACTGTGTGGCAAGACTTCTTCGAGCACGCCGATGAAGATAAGTACAATATATACGTTCACAGATCCTACCCCACCCCAGAGGGCGGTAAGAATTTCCTGCAAAAGTTCTCATCATATCACGAGACACCTATCATCTCGTCAGCTTGGTGTGCTTTGATGGGCGTACAGTACGCACTACTGGCGGCTGCTCTTCGAGACCCCACAAATCAGCAGTTCGTATTCATCTCGCATAATACCGTGCCGTTCAAGAACTTCGATTTTATATACGATGATCTGATAGGCAACTCTATGTGCACTTCCAAGTTCTGCTTCGCTAGTATGATGGGCAGTGTGTACAATGACTGTCACTTCTTTGACACCCACCGAGCTCAACGAGCCGATACGCTTAAACACCACCAGTGGATTATACTCAGCAGAGAGCATTCACAAACCGTTCTCTATGAACAAGGTAGACAATCATTGAACTACTACGATTCTCTACGTGCCTTGAAGGACGGCGTGTACAATGACCCTCAGATGTGTAGTGACGAAACTGTTCCCTCGTTAGCTCTTATCCTCAAGGCTAAGGCTGAGAAGAAGATTGTGAGGGACGTCCCGGCCAATGTGTTTAATGGTCTCAGCAGTATTGGGGTAGAGGAGAGGTGTACCACCTTCGCCTATTGGGCCCGATGCCTACAACGCACGCCATTCGATCTGGGTGAGAAGTTCGAGGCTCGTCAAGGTGAATTATGGCATCCACTAAGTATGTCTGGTATACCTGAAGACTATCTAATCATGCTGGTCAACGAGCCATCCCTGCTCTTCGGCAGAAAATTCAACGAAGGCGCATTTGTTACTACGAACAACGGTTCCACTATAAATGTTGCTGATATTCTGCCGAAGATTATTCATTCAGGCGCCACATTTAGCGCCAAAGCCTTAGAAGAAAGGCCATTACCGCGACTTAACACCGCACTTGACGGATCAAATCCAGTTGAAGGTAAGGGTACGTAAATTCATATAAACATAGCCATACACGGCATCGAAATTAGTAATAAATATAAACTATGCATATTGTACACAATTTGCAGTACGTTGTGTTACATAGAAGACATACACAGCTTCAAAATTAGTAGTGGATACCAACCACTTACATGATGCACCATTTGTAGTACTTCATATTACATATATTTGTAATACCATCAGGAGCTAGCCGTGATTACGACTAAGCATTCCATTCGGACGGGACCGTACGATATCATAAAGTGAGCCATGATGAATAGATAATGATCGCATGACTGCCAATCGACAGTGGACAGTGCGCTTCGCAACGGTGCATTCTAGAACATGTGGCTCAGGGGGCCTGAAGTCTATTCGTATGTGTATATCGCTCATGCAAAATTCATTAATTCCAAGATGATAAGGAAGATGACAGCAGAATGAAATCACTATATCCATATACATACATACATACATAAATACATACATACATACATACATAATATATATATACATACACATATATATCATATATCATATATATAAATATATATAATAAATACACTCGC